CCATGGGGTTCACACAGACATGACTCTTTCATTTCTTACCAGACTCAGAACGGTCCTATGCGCTCAAATTCAGCGCAGAACGGTCCAGCCAATTTGGCTTATGGAATGTATCCTTTGCCAGCCATGAACCCTGGTGGAGTCTCGTCAAATGGACCAACAATACCTTCTGTTGTAATGTTGTATCCTTATGATCATAATGCTAGCTACAGCTCACCAGAACAACTCGAGTTTGGGTCTTTGGGATCCATGGGTTTCTCAGGCGTCAATGAATTATCACAGCTGAATGAGGGGAGTCGATCTGGTAGAGAGCATATGAGGAACAAAGGTTTCATAGTAGTTCTGCTCAACGATCACCAGATCAACCCTCTTCACCCAGCCTCCCAAGGTAGTCCTCCTGTCTCTCAGGAGAATAATCAAATGTGTCTCGCAACACTCAGACGTATTTTATGGGTCTGATGGTCAGGGTTCTGGTATATATTTTGGAATTTATTTTAGTCCCGTTTTTTCCATTTTCCTGAACCCTGTCATTTTACCCTTAGATTAGTATATAGCCAAAAAAGTCTGTGATATTTATCTTAAATAAAAGGTTCTTGCTAGTTCTTTTTAAAACTTGTATTACTCGATGATGCTTTGATTTATTCTAAACGCGGGGCTTTGATTCTTTTGCCAGGTGATTTACTAGGAGTAATCATCAGTTTAGGAGGATTTTCCACGTCTTGCATGTATCAGGACAGGTAAGGGCTCTCAGTGGGGAAAACTATGACGGAAAAATGCAACTCCCTTCTGGAGATTGTTGTCTACACCCACTCAGAATTTTGCCATGCGATCATCAGTTGATCCTTCTTCTAGAGGGCCCCTTTCTTTGATGCCCTGGCTTTTGCTTGTGCAACTACAACTGAGAAACCCACGTCACTTAACATTCTTCGGTAAGGATGAAGACGGTGGTGGGACAAAGAGGATACTGTGTTTTTAGTTTCTGGCCGAAGCTTTAGACACAATTTGTAATTTAATCACATTAGAATATGATTTAGGTTCAGAATTTAGAAATTTTACCATTACAGATTTCCCTTTTACACAATGTTGTAGGATTTTTGTTTAAGAACATGCAGTAATCTCTGTTGAACTTTGAACAATTTTACAGTGGAGCAATAACATCGTTAGAAAGATGATATTAGATGTCATCCTCCTGTATCTTCTCTCAGCACCTTTCCGTGTACTAATAAAGATTTCACGTCTTCATGTTTGAAACTTGAGGGTCTGCCTCCCTTTTTTGGTTGCAACAGGTTCGATATTCGTTTAAAATGTTCAACTTTGTTGATGCTGGGTTAAGTATTTTGAATTTTGAAAAGAAGAATGATAGAGAGATGTCAAAAGCATTAATTAATTCAAGTTAGGTTTTAGGTGTTAAATTTTAGGAATTTACAATTCAATATTTCAATTTTATAATTCTATTGTAATGAATAAACTTTAATAGAAAAAATAAATGTTTTTATTCTTCAATCATATCAAAATTTAAAAATTAATTTATAAATTCATTACAAACAGTTGTTAAAATTGAAAGATGGATTTATAAATTTTTGGTATTTGACATTTGAGATTTAATTTAATTTATTTGGTCCTTTTGGGACCTCTATCATTCTCCCATTTTGAATTGTTGATTAAAAAAAAAAAAAAAACTGATGTGTTTAGGTAGTTTGCCCAAAGGTCCAAGATAAATAGGAAAAGTGCTCAAAATCCTAGACTGAAATTAATTTTCTTTAATTTTAAATTAAATTCTCGTCGTTATATTTATTAATAATTGAATATTAAAATCTGGTTAAAACGTGAAATTGCCTGAAATTTGTTTTCATTCTTTCTCAAGTTTGTATTTGACTTACTGTCCAGTACCTTTTATAATTTGATTCTTTTGTCGATTCACTTGAAGATTATTAGCCAAAATTCAAATTGTGTTAACCTAAGTTATAGTTATAACTGATGAAAATGTGATTTATTGATCAAGTTCTTTAGAAAAATGTGTCCAGGTTTTGTTAAGATCCTTCAAGGACCAAAAGTCCAAAAACAAATAAACTCAAATTTGAAACTATAAAAGGGAGTAAGAATGTCTATTACTGATTTAGCGAGTAAAACATAAAAAGGAATGTCAAGTACTGAGAGGGGTTATTGCTTTTCGAATCTAAAGATATATGACCAATCTAAAAGGGTGGTGAGAAGATCAAACCAAGAGTGAAAAATAGACTTGATTAAGTTAGACTTTAATTAAATAAGCTTAAATTTGTGTAATAATTAATAAATCAAAAGTCTAAACTGAATTGAAAGTCTATTTAAAAGTTTACTTAAAAGTAAACTTTTTAAATGAGCTTGCATTTTAATTTTAAACGTCTAAAATATACATTAAAACTATTAATATAAATATATAACATGATTATCAATTACAATATATATAATACTTAAAAGGACTTACCAACTACTATACAATACAATAATAAAGCAACAATATTAAAATCAATATATAAGTTCAATTTGATTGAAAATATAACAAAAAGTAAAAAAATAAATTGATGAAAAATCAAATTGTGAAACTAATATATGTGTGATATATTACATAATATATTCTCCATCCGTTCAAAAATGTAAAGTATTTTTTGAGGAGTTGGATGTTAAAAAATGTAAGGTATTTTTAATCTTTCGAAGTGTAATCACTACCTTTTTTTCAAAAGTGTCCCTGTTAATGAATGACTTTATATTTATTGTAGGGTGTTTGATAGGAGCAAATATGAAAAGATAGGATTAATTTAAAAGTAATTAATTACTTTATTAGGGAATGAGATTCAATTAAAATGTCTTACATTTTTTAACAAAAGAAGTATATATATAGATGTATGTATGTAACCGGCCTCTTGGGTTCATAAGCTAGGCCTTGAAAACAAAGCTGCCTATTGAGCTAAATAGGCCTAATTAAATATTTGAACTTAACATGAGCTTATTTAATAAACAAGCTAGGTTAAACCTGAAGTAGATTAAGGTATAAGCCCTTGATAAGGGCTCAGCTTATTCCAACTTTTAGATCAAACAATACAATTTAAAAAAAGAAAGCACATACGTGGGCCCTTATAGTTTGTATTAATTTTTAATTAGGCCCCTCTAACTTTATTTGTTAGAATTAAATCCTTACACTTTCTCATGTTAAGTCTGTTAGCCCTTCTAGTCTTGAAACCCATTTACATGGTTTATGTTAACGGAGTAAGATCTGACATGGCTGATGACTATGCACATACTTACATAAGTAATTTCCATGAAACACCAATACTTCAAATTGCCTCGTGTATTTATATCCATATTATGTCCGATATCGATACTTCAATATATATCCATAGGTTATAAAAATATTATTTTTTAATTTTAAAATATTTTAATATCTAATATTTTTAGATTGCAAGTTGATACTTCAAGACTATTTTTAAAAAATTAAATTGTATTAAATATTGAGATGTTAATTTTTTTTTATTTCTAATATATTTCTATGATTTGCTTTAAAAGTCAAAAATTGAATTTTCCTTTAAAAAAATAAGTTTTATATATAATAAAAGGATAAAAATTATATCTTTTTAATTATAAAAAATGTAAGAATATAATCTTTTGGCATATAAACATTAAGTAGGAAACTATTAGCAAAGATTAGGTGGTAAGCAATTAGATAGAGATGAAATAAAATCATAATTAATGATTACATTTTGCTTAGTATTACTATAAAGAACTATACATATATGCTAGGTTGGATATTTTTTAAATTGAAATTATATTTTTAATGTTTTATTATCTTTTTATAAATATATTTACACATGTTGGAAACATATCATATTCTATATTTTTAAAAATAAAAGTATTAATGTATCAAATATGTATCGTATCCAACACGTGTATTGATATCTGTTCCAAGTTCTCATGGGCTCGCTCCTTCTATGGGGTTCTTCTACCTTGGGCTCAAGGAGGTCCGAGTTTGATTCTAATTCCAAGGACTTCCACGATGCAGTAGAGTTCCATAAATTCTTGTCTCAGACGCGAGGTAATGATTTGCATGTGTTCTCCTTCTCTTAAATAGGCAACTTGTGGGCTCAGCAAAGCACTTTTGATTGGAGAAGCAGGGCTTAGTTGTTGAGGAAATGTAGTAGAAAACTAGGAACAGATACCAAGGCGCGGATTTGGATTTGTGTGCGTTCTTGAACCAGATTTGGATTTCACTTCCCTAGAAATAAACCCATTCATATTGATTTATAGTAGGCCCATTGGATATGGTCCAAATATTATGCAATTTTAAGTTGACGAAATTCTAAAATTGGATCTCTTCTTTCCTCAACCATTGATATTTATAGCTGACATGGCTAACAACGAACAGAGGGATCAACCAAGCAAGACGAAACAACACAATCGCTCTCCCCCTGGTTCAATGAAACACGACCTCTACCCTTGGACGATGAACTAGCAAGACTGGCCAAACTTTTTTTTTACTATCCCGCTAGGCAAAGATCTACGTGGCAAAATTAATCCATGTATATGTTAAGCACTATGTTGTGTCTAAGTTAGCCACATCAGATTTTTTTTTTTAACAATGTTAAAGGTTAAGGGCCAATGGACTTGATGTGAAAGTGTAAAGGTCCAATTCCAACAAAGAAAACTAGAGGGGCCTGATTAAAAATTAATGCAAACTGTAAGTGCCCAAAATTACTCGTCAGAAATCACACGGACAGCATAACCTATTTGGAACGTAAACCAGGTATATTTCTGAGGCCCATCTTGCCAAGGACTAGCTTTGGAATAGCGGGAGGGTTATCAAGCCCCATGCTTCTACTGAATTCATTTGCCAACTCCACTAGCCTATACTTGTCCTTCCCCACTTTCGAGATGGAATTGTAGAAACCAAGCCAGGATTGATACGCTGCTTCCTTATTCTTCATCTCCACATGGGCTAGGGCCCTTTCCACCTGTTACGGCATATAATATTGGATTAGCTTCATGTTCATTCTAGTCATAAACCTGCCAGAGCATCAGAATATACGCGAGAATTTGTATCCGTGCAAATATATACCTTTTTCTGTGTGTCAGGATCAATTGAAGGTGCTGGAGCTTTTGTAATGGGCAGATCCTTTACGGCAGATAAAAAGAATTCTTCCCAAGGAGCTAGCAACAGTACGCCTTGCCCTTCTTTACCTTTCCGCCCTGTTCGACCCAGTCGGTGGATATACTGTTCTCTATCAGCTGGTAAACCCAACTGTCCATTTTGATAACAGTTAAGCAGGGTGTCAAAGCAACAATTTTCATATTATGTAGTAAATAAATAATAGCTACATATATATAATAAATTAGAAAAATTCTGAAGCTGAAAGGACACTTGAAAAGTTCAATGCTTGAGGAAAGGAGTTCATTTATAACCTGTATAACCAGAGTGACGTCTGGATAATCAACTCCACGGGCAGATACATCTGAAGTTACAAGGATAAGGCCCTTGGACTTCCGAAACTCCTCAGAGACCCTGGTTCTATAGTTCTGAGGCTTTCTTGAATGAATTTCTCTCACATTCAACTTCAACTCACCAAGAAGGTCAGCAACAAGTCTTGTGACCATAGCAGTTGTGCAGAAAACAAGAACCTAATAAATAAATAGCAAAGGTTACATATCCTCCCAGACATGTGCCTTGTTATATGTAAGAGTTCTAGAATCCGGGACAGCAACATCCTACATTCGACATAGAATGTCTTGTTTGCAATCGTACTGTGCCTTGACAGTAAAGCACAAAACATTGTCAAACAACTGGTTTAAGATTAGGAAGCGCACCTTATAGTCAACATCGTCAGCAATATGCTCCTTTAGAAGAAGGTAGAGCAAGGAGAAATGTTTGTCTAATGGTGCAACTAAGTGCCTCTGCTGAACCTGAACAGATCAACCGACCCACATGAACAAACGAAAGGAAAACATGCACCGGTAAGTACAAATGCACATGTGTGCTCGCTAGTGCTTTATAAGCAAGGAATGACAAACAATTACCTGTGAATGTGTCTCCTCACTACCCTCTTCAACTGTATTGATAAATTCATGATCTCTTCTCAATGCAATATGGCAGACTTGACGGACCTTCACACAATGAAAAAGAAAAAAAAATCCCTTCAAAATAGCTCAGTGAGCTTACAATTTCTAAAGTTTGAAACACATTGCAAAAAGAACCAACCCCTAAGGCCTAACCTCTTCTGGAACAGTGGCAGAAAACATAAGTGTTTGTCGTTGTTTAGGAACTGCAGCAATGATCCTCTCAATGTCTTTGCGAAATCCCATGTCTAGTAGATGATCAGCTTCATCAAGAACAAGGACTTTCACGCCCATCAGCCGAGTTGCAAAGCCTGCTGTATTCTCAATATGGTCTCTAAGCCTTCCAGGAGTAGCAACAAGGATCTGTACAATTTAGGAATGCAAACTGCAATAAATACAGTCTGACAAGATAGTTTGCTAATAGAAGATAACGGTCCAAAGTGGTCTAATTAGAACTGATTGAACTCAATAAACCACATAATCATCACATGCTTACTGTTTGAACTCATTAACAAGAGGCTGGACCTTTAGTTAGAACTGATTTATTACAGTACCGCTGTTTGCAGCTGTAGAAAGGAGATATTTCTAGAGTTATTCGCTAGATCACTTCTTAACTATAAAATATCATACTACAATGAGAAATAGCTACAGCAGATGAGTCTCTCAATAAAAGGGCAATAAGATGTTCACATTCCCAATCTCATGCATTCCTCTCAGGCTGTCACACAGGTTAAAGTCTTCCTGGCCGGTTAGTTATGCAGCAAAAATTCAGAATCCTCTCATTTGTTTGATTGTCGTCCTCATACAAGGTCTACGTTGAAAAGAAATAAAGTTATGGTGGCAATTAACAATGGATTTACCTGGCAAGGGTTAGCTTGCATGCGTTTCTGTTCCAACGCAAGTCTTGTCCCTCCAATCACAACTTGAACGCCAATGGAAGGGTGGAACTTCAGTAGTTTAGTGGCTTCTGCGGCAGCTTGACTTGCAAGCTCTCGAGTCGGGCATATGACAAGCACAAGGATTGGAGGCCGCTTTTGATCATGATCAAAAGGAGGTGACTTTTCAACAACTTCAATAGATGGAAGCTGAATAGGAACACTTCAGAAATAAGTAGGGTTAAAACTATCATTCATGGCTTGCTGTTAATATAACAAAATGAATCATAAGCATCCAACTCAAAGCCATATGATATATTTTTTTTTTTTGGATGACAATATGATATTTTTATTTTAGGTAAAAAAGCAGTACACTATTCACTTGATCAACTGTATGCTGAAATAATAACTAATACTCGCATATACAAGCTCAATATAAGAATAGGCTGCTGTTGGCCACATAAAACAAAAGGCAGACAGGCTCAAACAGAATAGGGTTAAGAATAAAAAAGATAGAAATATCCCACCCAAAAGTTTGAGAGGAATAAAGTAGACAAGCCCAATCAGCAACAAGCTGTATTAGAATGTCAAGCCCAAAGGTTTTTTTTGGCTGGTAGAAGACAGGACTAACTACAATATGTCGCCCTTCCACTATATACAGAATTCCCCCAATCTACACAGAGGTGTATCGTTTCAATACACTCCCTCCAATCCTATTTATAGGGCAGAGACAGTTCTTTTTTTTTTTGTCTTATTTATAAGTCACATCATTAAATTTTCATCACAAATTTCTCCTTTTACCCTCCATTAAATGTTGAAAAGAGAATATGTTGTTAGAATATATGTTTAATAGGGACAAAGTTGAAAAACTTATTGAATTATTTGATGAATTTAATGAGTTTTAAGTATTTCCCTGGTTCCGATAAAACATGTTGGAAGTGATTTCTAAATAAAACCAAAGAAGCATTAAATGCAAACTGGTTCACATGTTCTGATTGTGGCTCAATTGTCCCACTCTACCACTTATATGTTCCCTCAGAAAGGAAAAGAAATTTCAAAATGATGGAAACCATACACAAAACCAATAATCACGAATGCACTACGCATACAAGATAGTGAAGATGCTTACTTACCAAAAAGGCAACCGTTTTTCCGGTACCTGTTTTAGCCTTGGCTAGGACATCCTTACCTGGAAATAACAACTAAATGGAGTAAGTGACACCATCATAAATAAACTCCAGAATAAATATACAAAAATCATGCCAGCTGAGGCAGCTGCAAGTCGCTTTCTTGGTTAGTGTGCTATTTTGGCAAAGCCGGGTAGTCTGAATACTGATCCTTCATGCAGCAAGGATTTCTATATCTAATTTGTTCAGCCTTCAGTAAGAAACATTTGGGAGGAAGGAAGAGGATTTCAAAGCCAACAGGAAGTGTTGTTTGGCCCTTATTGTTTCCTTCACTATTTGTATGTCTCCATACCTTATGCCACAATTCTTGTTGTCACTCTGGCAAAATGCCTTCTGCATTATCATGTTGAACCTTTTTTACTAAAGCTGTCCACTTTTTATGAGTATCTTCTACATAATTTTGATAATAATATGCTGGTCTGAAAATTTTATATAAGCACATGTAAACTATAAATTGTTATATAATATTCAGCAGTATGATATTCCAAATCCTGACCCACTGTTACTGGCTATTGGCCAATCGTTTTAGACCTTTTAAAAGATCATAATGTCTAGATCTCAAAAAACCTGCATGAGCACACCATTCTAGAGTCTCTCAACAAAGTTTATATCTTCTCTCCCCACTCCCCCAAACCTAATTTTCTAAACAAAAAATATCCCCTTCAATGAACAGGCAAAACACAACAAAAAATGAGGTTACATCCAAGACTGCTTTATTTAAGATTACTTCAAGGCCAAAGGTTAAAACAAACCTCTCAAAATTACTGGAAGAGTTGCCTCCTGCACAACGGTCATTTTCTCATATCCAGCAGCCTTGACTCCTTTCAATGATAAAGGCGAGATTGAACATTGATCAAATCTGTGGATAATATCTCAAACATGAGATCTAGGATGTAAAGTATAGACACATATCATAGGGCATGTACTAGGAAGGATATAGCATATAATGCAGTCACAGAACTAATCTAGCACAAGTCAACAGCCTCAAACAATAAGCACAAGGATCAACTTAACTGATAATCTCTATTTACGATGTTGGAACATGGTCAAATCTTGAACAGATTTTCTTATCACACCATATGAAGTATGATGCAAAAATAAGCAGCGTTATCTTTCCTCTAACAATTAGATAATCACAAACAACGGAGCGTCCATTCAAAGCTCTAAAGCGCGCATGCAACGTGACTAATCCTTTACAAAGGTGCTACTTCTGTTACGTGGGTGCCCAAGCATGGCCTCTATGACCTCTCTCCCTCTCTCTATCCACATTAATAACCAGAAAAGTAAGTTTGGCAAAACCACTGCTCCATAAATATCTCAGCCACTGATCACTCATTTGTTCAATAAATACAGTAATCTTAAACAGCAGCATATCAGCATAGAGTATTTTGAAGATCATTCTCTCCTTAGACAACCGGCGCTATTAATATTCTCAAACCTCCCAACAATTAAACATTATTCATCTGTAGCCTGTCAGCCCAATGTACGTAATTTTTTTACCACCTGTCAATTTGTTCAGCCATTATTTAACACAAGAGGAATAACTCAGATACAATAAACTGCAAACCATAGAGAATGTGCCAAGTGTTGAAGTAAGCAAACTAGTCCGACAAAACAAAAGATGCTCTATAACATACTTGGTCTCACTTAAATAAGAGCCAGATCTCTCAGAAGAATCTCTTGCCGGACCGCTCTTCTTCGGCTCCTTTGCTTGATCCAGCTGAGAAGCTAAAGCCTTCTTCAGTAAATTATCATCACCATCTTCATCTACAGTATCTTCAGCGTCACTATCTTCTTCGCTGATAAGATCTCCAAAGCGTCCCATGAACTTCTTTGCTTCCTGTTCATCTTCATCAGCATCATCCTCACTAATCGAATACGATTTTCTCCTTCCATCCCTTCTCCCTCTTCGCAACTCCCCACCGCTTCTCTTCCCCAAGAGAGACTTCACATTCCGACCTTCGGACACTCGACCGCTTCTCCAATGGCGGGATTCATTTCCCTCCTCGTCTTCATCATCTTCAAATCGCCGACTCACACGAGAATTCCTCGAAAACGACTCAAATGTATCCCGAGTTCTCCTCCGAGATGATTCACCAAATCTGCCCAAGCCAGTCTCCCTCCTCCCTCTCATCGACTCAGATACTCTGCTCCTCCCTCCATTGCGATCCTTCTCCCTGTCCGAGTCGTCCTCTTCGCTGGTGAGTCGACCTCGATAAGAATCGGTCTTCAACTCGTCAACCCAGTCGCTGAGTTCATCCTCGTCCTCAACCAAGCTCTTCGAAACCCTGATCCTTTCTGCATCCCGATTCCCCCGGTTGAACTCAGCCCTCGACCCAGCCCTCCCAGGAAAGGACCGAGTCGAGAATCGGCGCACACCGAGAAGTTCATTCCGTACAGCACGAGACTCCAACCCGAGGTACTTGAGCCTGAAGGGGAAGATACGAGAGACAATGGGGACTGCCCGGGACGTCGGAACGGAGACTCCAAGCTTCATGGAAGGGAGGCGAGCGATGGAAGAAACTTGGATGAGATGGAGTTGCGATAGGAGTTTTGTGGGCATAGCAATACCTACAGTTTTAGTACAGTATGGTTACTCAGAACTTGTGGTCGCCGGCGACGATGGCGCGACAGTGGAAAGGGAGAAGGCAGGAATGGCTGAAGTTTACTTCAGCCGGAGGGTTTAGCTGAACGAGCTTGAAGGGGAAAATGGGCGGAGTTTAGGGTTTAAGAGTGGTTTTATAAATTTTGTTTTCCTCTATTTTTGCCAGTCGTCCCAAGCTGTGCGTTTAATGCCAGGTAAGCAGCTCACCCAGCTACGCCCATAAGCAGCGCCACAGTTGTAAGTTGTGACACAAAATAATGGGACAATGACAATAAAAAACCACTAGAATACTATGCTCTAATTATTTTGAAATTTCTTGGGATTTTTTTGGAACTAATGTTTTCATGAAATGACAATATTATCCTTTTTATAATAATAATGTCACCCTTTCTCTTCCCCATTAAGTGCCATGATGCTTGCAAAGCTTGATTGAGAGTGAAATAACAAACCAAAAAAGAAATAATCTATTATCGTACATGAGTGGGGTTTGAAAATGTTGTGTGATTTCAAGTAACTTAAAAAAATTACTACGACTTCCGTCTTTGCTCTAACTCTCTCACATTTGTTATGAGTTTAATTAGCACCAATTCACTTTGTTTAGTGGCAAGTACATTAGTCCTTTTTTTCAATCACATACTTAAAATGTTTCTTTTCATCAACTATTTTTATTTCACATAACTTTGCTTTATGTTGCGAAGATCTCTAATCCACTAAGTGTTTTATACTTTCAACCTAACACATTGCCCAGATTAAAACCCAAAAGCATTGAATCACAATTGAACTTTGAGAACATCAATTATTTATTTTATTGAGTTAAAACATGATCATAATAGTGCTTGTGAATCAAAACAAGATAATGAGGGGGACTATTTTTTTTCAGACCTGTCATTTTATTCATCTTTTTAATCTATCATTTAACTCTCAATTAAGCTTGAGTAGAGCTCTACAAAGGAAAGATTGCTTTTTGTGGTCATTGACAATGACCAAGATATGCAAAATTAAATTATAATTTATTGCTATTCTCTCTAAAATAATTGTAGGGATTGCTCCCAGTAATGGTTCAGAGTAGCTTTTTTTTTTTTTTTAGTTCTTTATTTGTGAAGGCAGATATTGCTCGCGGGTTTGATTTTATTGGAACCCTTTTCATTACTCCTTTTGCACCGTTAAAAACAAAAAACAAATTTGAAAAGGTGAAATAACCTGCTCCAAGATCCTCTTGAAAACCATCACCCAATATCCTAGGGGAATAAAATCCCTCCTCTGCTCTCTCCCGCTCCGTTAAAATACGTGGCAGAGTGATAATTTTATTAAAATCGGAAGCCCAAAGAAATGGAGTGTGATAGAGTGTTTGAAAGGGTAGGACGGAGAATTGGAGACTTAAATCATGAGAGAATATAATAGTCTTACCTGGAACAAAGGCCAATGTTTGTAGGGGGGGGGGGTTGTGAGTGTGTGTGAAGAGTATACTCAGCTGACAACAAACTAATTTCTATTGAAGTGTCAAGGGCAATGGGTAAAGCTCTTTCGACCAAATTGACATAAATAAAAAATTTTAATGACATACAAAATAAATAATGCTAGGTACCATGTAAATAATAGAGGAGATGGGGATACGTAAAATTTTAAAGATCATGTTACCATCCAAAGGCACGTCAAACCGGTCTATCAAGTTTGGAGTAGTTTTTGTGTGTGTGTGTGTGTGTGTGTTTTTTTTTTTTTTTTTTCATTTTCCATCCTATTACCCTTTCCAAACAGAGCCAAAAGGAAGAATCCCTGCATAAAAGAAATTTTTAAACACGCGCGCCCACAAAATGTGCGCGCGCGCGCGCGCATATAGATGAAGAGGCATGATGGGCCAGATAGCCCTCTGCTGGTGAAGTGGCTTGTAACCTATGCATGTGGATTTGAAAATGAAACCGCGGGCTTTCGGTAGAAGCCCAATGTCTGTGAAGAGAGACGCGCAGAAAACAAGGCTCCCAGACAAGATAGATTTTTCTCACGTCAGTCTGTGTGGGTGTGGGTGTGGGTGTGTGTTATATAAGAGCATAGTAAATGTCAAGAGAAGCATACTCTTACAAAACGTTTATATAAATGGCTGGGGGTAATGAGTCTTTAACATCTTGTGGAAGACAAAATGAAACAGACAATGGCTAACACTGTTTGGATATTTGTTTAAAGGTCCAAACCAATTTGCAAACTCAAATCCTATTAAATGTCTATTTAATTGCTAAGTTGAATTTGGTTCCTCAAATCTCGATTTTCTCGTTGCAAATCAGATTTTACTTTTGCTGGTAATTGGATTATTCAAACTGGGTTTTCGGAGTGCCACTTTCTGCAATAATTGACATCCAGACATTAAATTAAGGTTCTAAAGTCTATGATCGAAATTTGGAAATGTGACCGTAGGAGTAGACATCGCAAGCCTTGTTGAGCTTATTTATTCCTCTCTCTTTTGTCTAACATAAGCAGCAGAAAAGAGAGATATTTTCTACCTAGCTAACACCAACAATATTACAAAGTTCAATAAATATTTAATATACTCATTTCGTCTCAAATTATAAGACACTCTTTAAGTAGATTCAGCGTTTTAAAATATAAAATACTTTAATAATATTGAGGTTTTATTAAATAAATCTATTTTAATATTACCCTTTATTTAGCACTTAGTGTAGATTTAAGGTCATTAAATGAATGGTATTTTTGGCATTTTCTATTTTTCTTAAAAAAATAAGGCTATTAAATGTATCTAATGAAATTTATTGATATGTAAGATTCTGTTTAAAAGTGTTTCATAATTTGGGATAGAGGTAGTGATATTTACAAAAAAATATCCCTCATAATTAATACCACACTCATCTCTCAAGGGTTAAATAAAATAGAAAAGACATTTTTCAGCCGCAACTTTCTTAATACATGTAACTAGCGTCATCCACTACTTTTATCAGGTAACCAGGGGTATTTGGTGTTAAAAATAGATATTACCAAGTATGAATATATTAAAAGCTAGACCAAAAATTGAACTGATTAAGGCATTAATTTTTAAAAATTTAATGATCAAAACTATAATTTAATCATTATCAAATCAATTATGAATATAAAGAAGTATTTTATTAAACTAATCAAAATACTAGCTTAATAATTTACTAATTCAATAGGGCAGGTCGGCTCAGTTTTTAATACGAGAGAAGCGACACAGAGAAGGGAAGAAATTAATGGAGTAGAAAGTCATGCAAGTGGCATGGTTTGAAAAGAGAGGAGAGGAGAGAGGGAGAGGGAGAGGGAGAGGGTTGGGATGAGGACGTGCATGGAGTTAAATTAAGAATGTCGGGGTCCAATATTTGAGGCCATAAACAAAGTGATGACTAGGGCTGTTTGTCCCTTGTTACGTTTTTCCCACACAAACGTAGACGTTTCCAACAAAATATCAAAGCGTGATGCATGTTGACATTGATGCACTGTGGTCCTTCGAATAATTCCTTTTTGCCAATTATGCCGTCCACCTTTTTGGCCTCCGCCTCCAAAAAATTAATTACATTGTCCCTCGTCCATCCTTCATCTAAAATTTCTTCACTAAGAAATAGCCATACCCAAAAAGTCATGGCTCAAGCAGTTTAAACTTTTGGGTGTTTGTTCTTCTTGAGCAACGCCTCTAGTTTAAGTTTTGTACTCTCTGTCTAGTAGTATAAGTACATTCCAATTAATTAATTTACACTTACAATAGATCAGTTAATGACATTCAAAATTACTCATTATTTTTATGTTTATTCTTGTTTAATAAGTTGTCCTAATTTCAAAACCTTATTAAATACATCCTCATTAAGAATGTTATTGAAAAAATATATTAATTACACCTTAAATTAATCATAATGTCGTATATGTTTTAAGGTGGGCAAATGCCCCCCTTAAATTTTGTGGAAACCATGTATGTAGTATTGATATATGTATCATTACCCTCATCATCCCTTAATTTTGCACCCACTGAACAAATCCAGTTGAGACTTGAAGAGAGTTAAATTACATATAAGATGACAATGAACAAACACGCGGATGTAAAGAAGTTCAAGAAATAACTAAGAATGTTCAGTGACAAGATGAAAAGAAAAAGCATCCCTTGCTTTCAATGCTAGAATGAAGGGTTTGGAACCCAATCCAATAATTGTAGTTGTTAAGAGAAGTGAGATAGTAAATGTTCAACACCACAATCATGCAATAGTTACTAGTGTTCCCTGTCTAGCTCTGTTTCTAAGACAGAAACGGAGGTGAAAGTTTGAAAAAAAAAATATCTTACGGCTACAAAAACAAAGGAAAAATATCATAGTTAAAGAAAATTTGAAGAAGGTGCATTTTCTATATTTGTAGAAAGAATGAGAGATGCAATTTGGAAAAGGCCACACTAGTGCTTCAAGTGGGAATTGGAAAAGGAAACCATCAAATAAAATATTACATTATTTTAAAATCCTTATAAATCATTTCTTTTATTCCTTACTTCAACAAATTTAAGACTAATACAAAAATACATTATAACAAAATGAAAAGAATTTTATATTTATTTTTAGCACAAAAATTTTTCATTTACTTTGTATACTTTATTCCATAAAATCATTTATTTTTCATGCACCTTTATTTAAAATATGCTTTTAAATTTATGATCCTCTTAATTATTTTTATTCATTAAAATTAATTTTCATGTTAAAACATGATTCTCAATTAGTGGATTGCAAATTTTATAAATTTCAAACAGGATAATAAAATTATTTTTAGGGAAAGTTATCAATAAAGGAAGTAACAAATCTTTACTTGGCAAATAAAAATTTTAAAAATAATAAATAAAGATAAATTTAATAAAAATTATTTTCTATCAAACCTAATTATTAAATTTTATACAATTTTATTGATAAAAATCATATAATTATATGCAATGCTTTTTTATTATTTTTATAAAAAAATATGCCCCCGCTGGCTCAGGGTTTTGAGTTTGCCACTACTCTCCTTGGTCTCTGTTATAAGACACTCCAATTATTTTATCAAAACCAATAAAAGATGATTAAGTTATTAGTTTTATCTAAGAATATAATAAACTTTCAATTTTAAGTTTATTTAAATGAAAAATTTTAC